ACGTACATTTCTCAATTTTAATCATCTCTGCACAATTTCAGCTATGTGAATTTTCTACTAAAGATGTAATGCAAATCTTAACTTAAGCTCTGTTACACCAAAGGATTTTTTTCCTTTGCTTCTTTTATATATACTTTTCTACTATTTTGCATCATTTTTTTATTTGTACATTTGCTAAATCAACACTTTTTATGGTTTCAATAGAATGCCATTTCTATCTGCAATATGGCTTGTTTTTCTTTTTTCATCTCTTCCTATGTTTAACAATTCTTTGTGCTTGGATATTACTTCCTTTCATCTAAATGTGTTTGATCTGATTGATCTGTTCAATAAAATCTTCTAGCTAACGTCAATAACCATCTGAGAGATGTGTTTTATAAACTGACCAATTACACTTAGCATAGCGAGTACTTAGAACATTGGGACTTGGCTTTTAACAAAAGGAATTCTACACTGTAAAGTGCATTTTAATTCATTTTCTCATTTCAAACTGGCTAAAATAGCTCTGTAAAATGGTCACTCTTAGAATAAGACCATAGCACTGGATATGTCATGGCTTCTTTACTGTAAACAGAAATGAGATGTTTTTTCTAAAAAAAGATAAAACAAATAAAAATTACCTATATTTTGTATTACTCATTCATTAAAGTGAGAATTTGAAGTGAAGTCAAAATGAATTTAAAATTGAAGGCAAGAGTAGCTAAACTGAAAGCAGAGCTCACTTAAAGTGGATCTGTCACTTTCAGGGGTCCTTGCAAATTTGCAAAGACCCTCGAAGTTGACATTTCATTGGTTAAGGCATGGTGACCACTGAATACAGTGGAAGGTAGGTTTACTTACTGAGCTGTCTTCACAGCTGTTGTCAAATTCTTTCTGTGGACCTTCTTTGGCTCTTGACGTTTCGTATGCCATGAATGTGCTAGAGCATGGAGAGGCAACCTTTAGTACTCATTTTTGGAATATATCTCCCATCATGCTCTGATACCCATAGTACTGGCATGGGAGGTGTAGTCCAAAACATCTTGAATGCCGAAGGTTGCCCATGTTTATGCTAGAGTAAAACTCTGGGTCTATGGAGGATTCCATGAGAGCCTCCATATATTATGTATAGTGATGAGTGAGACGATGACTGTCCACAGCCATCATTGGGATGCTGGGCTGCTGGGATTGAACAAGAGCTGATGGATTCTCTTGTCAGCCTTACAAGACAACCTCATAAGACAAAGTAGTCCATAGTTTGTCTTATGGTATCTTTTGATTTCAATCAGTTTCCAAAGCTGTCAACATGAATATTTCATAAAGATTATAGTGGTGAAACCGACCTCGCCACTGGGCATTGGAGAAGACTGATTGCCAGCATCCTGCCATGTGACTATGGCCCCTGGGATGTATTGCCCTTTAAAGACATGATTTGGGTATAAGGGATTTGTGTTGTGCTGCTGCTGGCCCTTTAAGAACCATCTGGTGACATACTGTGGAGTTACTGTGTAGCCACCATTTCCTGTATCAGAGGCACATGGTGAGAACAATGGATGAAGCACATGGTAAGAACAATGGATGGCGGCCATTTTAACTCACAGACACTGTCTGGACTTTTCAACACGGTGCCATCTCGACAGTATTTGGTGCACAGAGACATCGTGCAGTGGTTTTGGACTATACAACAGGGGACACATTATACAGTAATTGTTTTTAATTTAGCCTGCATATGTTCTGTGGAATCTGCATTAAACTGTATCTTCCAAAGTACTGAACGGATCTGGGTGAATTTTGGATATGTGGTTATTGCATGTTTTGGGGTCCCTGTGATGTGTTTTATGATACTGTATTGATCTGCCTGTGATAGTTAGATTAACCATTGTGTTCAGTAATCATATCACAGGCAGAGGGGAGGATTTGCGTGGGAGTGTCTGTGTGTATTGTACAGATTGATTGGTTGTTCTGTAAAACCCTGTGGGCAGTACTAAGTTTGTGGATTGGGAATAAAAGAGGCTGTATGTGCCAGTACAGTCAGTTCTGCTTGACCTCAAAATGAAGTGTTGTCTCGTTATTGGGGGAATTGGATTGTATGCTGATTGTCAGGAGTGTAAGCTGATCGTATGCTTTTCCTGTTCAGCTGCTTACAGCATTCATATGCTTGAGAGCATTTGTATGCTTCTCTGGTTCGATGGTTGTGGTGTCTGCTGCAGTGCTTGGAGTCCTCAGGAAACGCTAGGAGCATCCTTCAATGGGGGTACCCAGTTGGGGTGCCAGGTGATCCGTTACAATT